GCTATGAAATTCAAGTATCCCACAGTCTTGAGAGGATGGAGAGCAAAAAAAGGAAGAAGAGATAGCTTATGCATTGAGAAGAGATAGTCGGAGACACATTTACGATTGGTATGTAAATTAGATACAAGAAACATCTGTATGGCCAGAGGAGATATATATCATATTCTATAAATCTTTATTTTGGAAATATAGCATAAAGGATTTAAAAAAAATTAAATTTGATAATTTTACTTTTTTTATTTTTTTTTATATCCTGATTTTTTTTTCTCCAAAATGGAAAAATGTTTATTTTGACATAATTGAAAATTTTGTTGATTTGTTTTTTTTTTTTTATCTTATTTTGAAGAAATGTTTGATTAATCTTTTTTTATTTTTATTCAAAAATTTGGCTTTATTTTTCATTTATTTTTTGAAAAAAAATTTACAGAAAAGGGCTAATGACTGATCAATTAGAAAAGAGACTTTGGGAAAAATTATTATATTTTATTTTACAAAAAATATAAAATTCCAAAAAAAAAAATATTTTTTATTCTTTGAATAAACCTCCACTATCTTAAGGTTGGATTTCTGATCAGTGGGGTTCTATTTTTAAAATATATATATATATATATATATATATATATAGAGGTTCAAAAATAATAAAATTATTGTATAAATCTGAAATAAAAAAATGAAAATAACATTGACATCTATTTTTTAATATGATATTCAAAAAAATTACAAAAAATATTAAAGATGAAACAGGTTTTTAAGTAAATTTATTCAATAAAACCTATTATAAATTTGGTTTTCCAATTTTTAAAAAAAGACAATTTCAGAATCATTTGCATTTTTTTTCTGGATGGTTTTTATAATTTTTTTTTTGAATAAATGTTTTTTTATATTGCCTTCAATATTTTGTTTTATAAAATTTTTTTTTTTGGTCTCCCACTCAACAAAAAATGAATAATATTTTTTTTTTTTTTGGGGATTTTTTATGCTAGATGCAAATATTTGAATTAAATAATTCCCCTTTTATTGACATTTTCTTTTTTGGTTCTCCATGCTTTATGGCATTTTGCAGATACCCTGTTGTAAAATATAAATCTTTCAGTTTGCCATCTTAAAATGAAAATCCAATAAATATTGTATGAACTTAAAGGAAATTGAATAGGCATTCCATGTTAGAGTTTGAATATTTGCTGAAACAAATTAGCTTTTTTCTTTTCTTATCAGAAGTGAATCAAAATGTTAAATTTTAAATATATACATATTTAATGTGAAAAGACCATTAGAACTAAATCAAATTTTTCTCATATATCTATATTTTTTCCTTAATTGATACCTAAACAATTGAAATGTTTCTACTGATTCATGGACAAAATACTTAAATTTTTTTGAAAAACTTTATTAAAAAATCAAAAAAACCTGCATATCTTTGAAAAATTAAATCTTTTATAGTTTTTTCAAAACCATTTTATCATTATTTTGAAAATCAAACGAAAAAAGTTTTTTCATTTCAAATTGGATTTGCTTTAATTTTAAAAAATATAAAATGGTGAAAATAAAATTTAGTAAAATTTAAAAGTTAAAAAAACTTTCTATAAATAATATATATATATATATATATATATATATATATATATATATAATATTGATTAAGAGCTGAAAATTTAATATTAAGAATTTTATTTTATTTTTTACTTAAAAATGTTTAAAAATTAACACAGTAATATAATTTCCAAAAGGAAAATGCAAATTTTTTTTGTTTAGAAAATGTTTTTTCTTTGAAAATCATTACAAAAATTTCCATAAACTTTATTTTTTGAAGAAGAAATTTAAAAACTAAATAGTTTCAAGAAATTGTCTGATTAAATTTTACAAGTTTAACAAAAGATGAATAAGTTGAAATAAATTTTAAAAATAAAAAAAAAAATTTTATAAAATTAAGAAAAAAAATATATTCATCAAATATTGATTTTTATAAGAATAAAATCATAAAAATCAAAGATATATGATATGAATACATTTTAGGAATTTATTTTAATTAAATAAAATGATGTTAAAATTATAATGCATGAGATTTAAAATATAGGCTGTAAATAGGGTTTAAATTATTAAATTAAATTTAAAAAATCCATTAATAAAAATGAAATCTACTTGACATATTAATTTTTTCAAGACAGTAATCTCAGTTTCTGAAAAAAAAGTTTTAATAATCATTTTTTAAATGTGTAAACACAAAAAAATAAAGGAAACGAATGAACAAAAATAATTATCATTCTCATAAAAAAAAAAAAAAAAAAAAAAAAAAAATTTTTTTTTTTTTTTAATGTCAAATGTTTTCATTAACCAAAAATACATTTAGAATTTTTAACATGATACAAAAGAATATTTCAAAAAAATTACAATAAATAATACCATAATATTCCTTCAGGTGGACTTTTTTAACAGTCATTACAAAATTGAAAGAAACTGCAAAAATTTTTAAAAAAAAAAAAATAAATTTCATTAAAGAAAAGAAAATAATGCTAAATTGTTTAAAAATTAAAATAGAAATTTCCACTTTACTGTAATTAAAATAATGTATTTTTCATTCAGTATATTTTTTGTTTTATTGTTTTTTTGAAATTAAAAAAATGTCAACTGCTGTGTCTTTTGATCTTCCTTATATGTCTTATGTTTTAGAACTTTTGAAATTTGCATTGAAGTGTATTTATTTCCTCATACAGAACATGCTATCAAAATAAGTTTGGCATTATGTAATAGCAAACTTGTCTCACTAGATCAATTATGACTGAATATAAATTTTCCTCTTAATTATTTCATTTAATTTTGGTATCATGGGCAATATCTTTTTATATTGAGGAAAAAGTCAACAGACACATGCTATTAACCATCTTTCAAAATTTGAAATTGTCTTTAATTGACCCAAATGTTGATTTATAATTTTTAAAAATGGCAAATTGAAAGTGCCAACTTTTTTCAATGGGTCATATTTTGAAATTAATGATTTTGAAGACAATTTTTTTTTTTTTTTTTTATAGTTTATGAACATTTATGTTTTGGGGTTATTTAAAGGAAAGATATTTTATGGAAATAAGAAGAAAAAATTTTTTTGTATTAACAATTTATTGAGAATAACAATGATTTTTCCAGATGCAAGTCCTACTATTTAATCCATAGCTGAGGAGGAGGAGATGGATTCATACCTTTCCTAAGGGTATTTGTGTGTAAGTGAACAAATAGTGTTCAAGACAATAAAAATTAATTTGGAAGATTTTTAAAAAAAGAAATTATTTTGTGGTAGGTAATTTGACTAACTCATGTGATAAAAAGGGTCATAAAGAAGATTTATATTGGAAATCATTTCAGTAAAATAGGATAAACAATGTGAAAGAAGTTAAAAATTCTGAGATCAACTTTTGATAGCAATCAAAACGAAAGAGTACACCTATTAAAACTTTGCAATCTATGTATTAAAAAGAGAGAATATCATTATAGAAAATTATTGTATATTGATCATTTCTCATAATTTTTTTAATGAGATAAGTTTTTAGTTTCTGATGTAAATGACATATAAAAATACAGTCTCTTGTCCCAAATTAAGTAGAGTAATTCCTTGCTAATGTTTTTCACTGACATAAAGTGTAAATATTATATTGGAAAGTCAGTTCACTGTAGCACGCTAGACAATTTTTCTTACCAGAATCTATCTTACACATTTAAAAGTCTATTATTCACCCATACTTTAAATATTGCTGTCACATTTGGTCTGGTGCTTGTGCTATATGTTTAGAGATTCTTGATAAAATCCAAAGAAGAATCTGCAATATTAATGATCCTAAGTTTGCATCTTGGCTACAGTCACTTTCCTCATTGACATAAATTAGCTACCCTGTGCCTTTTCTATAAATATTTTCATGGTAATTGTTCTCTTTGGTAGCTTGAATTTAAGCGTAATTCTAGACTCATCAATTTACAGTTGAAATTGCTGGATGTAACTGTAGGTTCTATGCTAAAAATTTCTTCTCTTGCACTTTCTGCTTGTGAAACTCTTTTGGTCTCTTGCTTTCCAGTCAATTGTGATCTTCAAAATTTAAATGTAATAACAATCATCATCTTTTCTTAATTCCTGTTATTTTATTTTCTCTCTAACTGTAATAATATTTTTCTTTTTTTCTTATTCTTTCACACTTAGCAACCCCTTGTGTCTTAGTGGCTTTATTGTCTTGCTTGAGGTGAAACGATTAAAAAAGAAAACAAAAAACTTTTCATCATCGCTCTCACACATTACATATATATATATATATATATATATATATACACACACTGTCATATAGCCTGACATGCTATACCATTTAGCTACAGAAGAAGCGTCCAGTTTGCAAGGTCAAATTACTGCTACTCTGTAGCTAAATAATAGCACATCAGGCTATATGATGGTTCTGTGTAGGATACAGATTTGATTCCTGTCAGAGGACACATTTTCTATAAAATGTCTTGGACATTCAGGCCAGTAAATGTTGCTAATACTGTAAATTATAAACAAAGCATTTACTTAAATATTTAAATCTACAAAAATAACATATAAACAATAAATATATTAAAATAATTGTCAAACTTAGACCATTTCATGTCTGTATTTACAAAAAAAATAGGTATGGTTATATACACACACTAAAAAAATTAAGAATTCTTTTTAAAATACTTGGGGTGGGGAGTGAATTGTAGTAAGCTTTTCTATTTGTGATTAGATTGTAAATATAGTTTTTATTTAATAATATCACCTAACCTCTAAAATTAATGCAGAATTTTAAAAGATTTAAAAACTTTATAAATTATTCTAATTAAAATCAAAACAGAAAAAATGAAAAAAATTCTTGTAAAAAAAAGAAAAAGAAAAGGGGGCCAGATTAACATGTAAAGAATTTGCTGTCTTCAGAACATCTCTGTATCTCACCTGCCTCTAATTGTCCCCTACATTAGGCTCTAGGGTTAATAACAACCACCAGTTTTACTGATATCCCTCTCAACAAAAAAGAGGATGAAAAGCCAGTGAGTAAAGGCCTAATTCCTAAAACATAAAAGGGACTTAGTGGTTGAAGGTTAGCGAGCAGAAAACAGCAGAAAAGACATAAGAAGAAGAGGAGAGGAATAAGGAAAGAGAATAAAGGAAAGAAAACTATATAATTCAAGACTCCAATTTTGTAAAAGTTTATCAAAACTAACTGAGAAATGTATCAGTTTTCAATTTAAGGAATTATTTTAGCCATACACACAATAAAAAAAAATCTAAAAATTAATCTGTTATATCCTAGGATATTGGGATGAAGGAAAATAAAAGACATGTATTTAACACACAATGAAACTTTTATTCATTTACTGTCTGAGAACAGCAATGATTTGTTTGAACTGAAACCATGTATTCCACATGTGTGTCAAGTTCTCCCCATGGTTAATTCAGAAGTGCCACACTCAGCTTCCAAAACAAGGGAAGTAACTCAATTGTATTTTGAGTTATCGTCCTTTATAGGGGGAAGTAAATCAGCTTCCCCTAACATAATCATAAAGCAACATTTATATCAAATCTAAAGAAATGTTAATGCAACATATTTATGAAGATTTTATTTTTTTTAACTGTGCATTTTATCCAATGAAAGCAATATCATAACTCACCATGTTACATGGAAATAGGCTCTGCACATACCAGCATCACAACTTATACAGACACCAGTTCGACTAAATCGACTATCTTCACATAATGAACATTCCTAGTTAAAAAGAAAAAGAAAGAAAGGGAGGATAAAAACTGATTCAGATAATTTTATAGATATTTTCAGAGTTGTTGTTCCTATTAATATCAGAAATTCAGACATGAATACACTCTCAGGTGTGAAATAAAAGGGTCATCTAGCTTCTTGGAACAAAAGGATTTGTATGTATTTTATTATTATTTGCTTTTCCTTTTTCCAGATGTTACACTCTTTAGATTCTGCTGAGTGGTTTTGTTTGCAGTTTGTTTGGGCATAAAGGAGGCCTTTCACAGGGTGACTCTTCATGATCAGTCTGAAATGCCCCACATCTTTGATAGACTGGTACTATTGTGCAGTGATCTTGTAGATGGCCAAATTTCTGACATTTGTGACATCTACAGGGATTAGGGATATATGGCTCTACCTTGGATATTGTGTATCCTATTTTTATTTCTTTCGGTAGGATAAGTTTGTTGAATGTAAAAATGTATATGTTTGGGTTTATTGATGTGCCATTTCTTTTTCTTTCTACACAGACAGTATAGCCATTCTGAAAGTGACTGCAAGCACCCACATTCCCCCACCATATTTACCAAAGTATGGTGTAATGATTCACAGCCATGTTGTAGCCTTTCTCTTTTATCCCCACTATGTGACTAGCTGATTGGATTGAGCTATTCCATCCACCCAAGGTTGGGATCAAAGTGTTTGTTGTGGAAACTCCTTGCCATTTTATACCAGGTCAGGAGTCACTCAATCACCAGGACTGTCCTCCAGGCATCACAGGTTGCCATCTATAGCAAACGGGCGGCCTCATTGAGGGCTATTTGTAATTTTAGGGTATCGGTTTTTGTAAATGTGTGCTTTATATGTTGCAATTTTATAGGTATTTTTGTATGAACAGATAGTTTAGGCATAGCATTTTGTGTAAACTGTTAGATTGTGAATTATGATTTTTGTTGATAGTTTAAAGGTGTCTATTTTTTTCCAGTAGATTGTTTGTATGGAAAGACTATATTATTTTTCCTGAAGACACTATCCTAGGTTTAAACAGATAGGTTGTAGGTTTATTGTATAAGCTGACAGCATGTAAGTGAAGTTTTCCTCATATAAATAATTAGTTTCTAATCCACCTTGCTTCCTATATTAGGCCTGGTAATAGTTTAATGTCTTACCCTGAACATAGGCAAACTGGTTTTGTAAAAAAAATCCATGAGTGAATTTTAGTTTCATACCCAGGATGTGGATGCAGTTTAATGTCATGCCCAGGACAGGTTTTAATTCAGTCAGTTTAGCCTGTAAACAAGATCTTTCAGTACATCCCACAAGAAAAAACCTGGTGGAGTTAGGTCTCATGATCATGATGGCCACTAAATTGCTTCATTTCATCCTATCTACCTCAGCTCGAAAAGAAAAAAAGGGTTTTACTTTTGCTGCACCATGTGTATATCCAACAATGTCCACCCCAAAATATTTTATAATGCATTAATGAAATTGAAAATATTTTCATAATGTTTATTTTTCTTGTCTTGTTGACATACTCTTCTTTCTCAATCACTTCCTCCATCTTTAATAAGCAAGGGGGAATCCAAGAATTAACAAGCAGGGAAGGGGGATGTTTATTTGGCACCTGAGAGTACATGTTTGGGCAGTACATAATTGTGAAATTCATTCCAACAAAAATGCAAGTGAAATTATACTACATTGTTCTCTTTTGCTTGTCATGTTGCCAGAATTAACAAAAAAAGGCTCAATAGAAGGACAGTCTTGCTTAAAGAATTGTCAATAGAAAAAGTAAGTAAAACTGGAGTATATAACTACTATAGATGTTGATATATTAGAAAAATAATTCCTGAAGTATTCTGTGGTATATAAAATACTGTTTAAATTTTTTTTTTCATCAATGAAAATCCAAGCCTCAAAATCATCCTGTGCTTCACATGAAGTCAGGCTTCAGGCCTATTAATCCACCCCAGTAGATATTTATAACTCTAGTTACTTATTCGGTACTTTTTAGCAGTTTTGACGGCCTAAAAAACTGTTAAATTCCTGTAATTTCACACATTTTGAGTTGTATTCTCGTTATTAACAGGAATATAAATTTTAATTACACTTTCAAAAACATACATAAAATCAACAGCATTATAAAATTGATTAAAAAAAATTATAAAACAATTAAAAATATGGTTTTGTTTTAAACAATACTCTGTTTTTTTTTTTCATCCGTATCTATTAAAAAATATATATAAAATAAATATATATATATATATATATATATATATATATATATATATAATATATATATAAAAATTGGTAATGAAAAATGGGTAATCCCAAGGAGGATGAAATCCTGAGAGCTCAATGTTTAAAAGGACTCTGGTGAAATAAATTATTATAATGGAACCTTAAAGTGGTCTGTTTTTCTTTAATATATATATATATATATATATATATATATATATTATTAGTGATGTTCTGTTTTTAACAAAATGTGGTAAGAATTTGAAATTTATGATAGCATTTGTTACAAGGGGTATAAATAAAAGATCTGATAATAATTTCAATTGATTTATCCAACATCAAGACCACAAGCGTTTCTGAGTTGTTTTGAAAACAAAATTTAAAAATTTTTTTTTCAATTAAAATAATATAATATAAAAAATTTTAATTTTTTTTATATATATATATATATATATATATATATATATATATATATATATATATATATAAATCAAATGTGGGATTATTAATTTATTTTTATATATATATATATATATATATATATATATATATATATTTATTTAATATTATTATTTTTATATATATATATATATATATATATATATATTTGCATATATTTTGGCAGCATGTTTTCTTTGTGAGATATGTTTCATTATATAATTTTTAGACATATACTTATTTACTTATTTTCAATTGGAAAATTTTCATATTTACAGATAAGCTTAAATATGTCAAAATTAAATTATGAAAAAAAATTTTTCATTTGATATATAAAATTTTTCATGAATAATTACCTTTTTCAAAAAATATTTTCAATAACATCATCAGGGTATTTTTTTATTGCAAGACAAATATTGTAGTGTTCATTATTGTCAAAGGAAAAAATTGTGTTCATCTGAAAGTTAAATTTTTTTTAAATTTATTTGTCTGATGAGTGAGTGATATTTGACACCATTTAAGGGGAATTTAATATTGGCTGTGAAATTTTTTATTATTTTAAAATTCTGTTTTGTTTCTGTTTGAATTTCTGGAATGAGGAATTCTCATTACTTACAAAATTTATATTCAGACTATTATCCTCATCTTTGTTGTTTTTACCACAACATTTTAGTCTAAATATAAATAATGTAAAAATGTTTTGTTATTCACAAAAACATCCAACACGGTTTTTATCTTCTCTCATGTGATAAAAACCCTGCAAACATCTCATGGGACAGATTATGTATGGATAATAAAAGTAATAAAACCTGAAATTACCTAAAATGGCCAAAGTATAGTTTCAAAATTCAAACATTGTCATATGATGAATAACATTCTAGTATGTTTAATTTCTAAACACAATGATATCACAGGTATTATTTTAACAACTTCAAATTCAGTATTCAGTATAATAGAATATAAAAAAATGTATATATATTTTGTTTCAAAGAATCTCAATACATACCTTTGCTCCCCATCTAGCATATGGCATTTCACCCGTTTTTACAGTTTTGAATCTATATCTCCAAAGGCTCATTCAGGGGTATAAAGCAAATATTAAATGAAAATGAGTTTATTAAAATAAAAAAAATATTAGCAATAGAGATTAATTTACAAAGGAGAAAGACAATGAAAGAAGAATGCTTCTTCATGGAAACCTTTTTGAATTTCCTCAAACAGTATTTGCGTATTCAGAATATTTTAAATATTACTCAGAGAATTTAAAATTTTACTTATTTAACTCATAATGAAGTAATATTAAATGCATATTATGTAAATAATAAAACAAAGTATATATAAGAAATAAATATTAATTAGAAAATTACACTTCTAAAACAAAAGACTTTCACAAAACAGTTAAAAAGGGTTCCATTAACAATTATTTCATGTCTACCTCCAGGACAAAAAGTTGAATGAAACAAACGAATATCTAGCAGCTCCAATTCCTAATGAGAAATATTACAAGACTTTTCTCACCAACTTTTTACACAAAATTGTTTAAACAGAATATATGTATTATAGTTTCTCAGTGTGGGATTTAAAACAAAATATATATATATATTTTAAAATATGAAACATTCTCTAAAAAACAAGGCATTTAACAAAAAAGTTTTTATTTCAGCTATAAGGCATTATTATGCCATAGATATAATAATATCTATAATGGGGACATGCAGTTCAGCAAATTGGGAGAATTTTTTAATTTCTTCACATATTCTTACCCATTATCTGGTTGTTAACACTTTGAATTAATATTATTACCCCCCATTATCTGGTATTATGAAAAGATATTACATTAGATAATTTAATATATGATAATTTAGACTGTTTAACTACTTGGACAAAAAAAACCTTAAATAATTTTGCAAATATGATGTTAAAAAAAAAAAAAATTATATAAAAATATTTAATTTTCAACAATCTTCATCCTTGGTAATGCACTTTACCCAGTGGTGAATACTAATCATAGATTGAGCATTGTACAGTAAAAATTCCAGAACAAAATTCAGATAATAACTATATGTCAGACTATGGACTTATTGATCCAATCTTTGTGTAATTATTCTGTCAGTATTTGATCTGAGCTTGCAATATTTATCTGTAAAAGAAATTACACTAGTGAAGTTGAAATAAAAACATGTAAGATTCAGTAATACTAAAATATATAGTAGATAATTATATCTTTGACAATGCTTGGTCAGGACTACATTAGATTACCATATATATATATATATATATATATATATGTATATATGTATGTATATGTAATTATTGAAACCTCCTGATAGGTGAACTGAACAACTACAAAAACTGTATCTGTCTTTGTCTCTCTGTAACCTTGTCACACTAATGTTGTAACACTAAAACAAATTGAGGTATAAAGTTAACAATTGAATCCTGCACTGACCTGAGCATCTCCACTATGCCAATATTCAGCTGTTCAAACAGCATGGTAAAATTAAATGGCAAATTCCAAGTAAGACAGAGTGCACAGATACTACACTGATCCTAGTCAAAGGACCAGAAAGTGACTATGCCAGTTTATTATATATATATATATATATATATATATATATATATATATATATATATATATATATATATGTGTGTGCACATGTTGAGTATGGTGCTGAAAAGTTCTATAATAAAAAATTTTTAAATGAAAAATCTGACCAAATGTTTAAACATCAAATTTTTAAAAAAATTTTTTGTGAATTATAAAAAGTATTTTATCAAGTTGAGAACTTTCCAACACATGCACAATGCTTTGAAATTAATGCCTTTTTTATTTATTTTCATGAAAGCTATAACAGATACAAAGCCATCATCAGATAAACCAAATTCTCAGCTATAAAATACTACTTTCCCAGTCACCACTGAATATCAAAATTTGTTGCCCTTAAATACCATATATTATTCAATTGTACATATATCGCCTTATGGCACATATACATACACATCACTGTCACACTGCTGAAATATTACCCAATGCCTAACTGTGCTCACATGCACTATTTGGTCTTTGTAAACATTCAGTTCAGCAGGCATCAATAGGTGCAATTTTTTGATAAAAAATGGAAGAATTCAATGGCATACATTTTTTTTTTCACATTTTTTATACCAGATTAATTTTACTAGACATTATATCAGTAACAAGGCAAAAATATACTATGAGTTAGTAGTAGGAAGGTTCAATCTCTACTGCCATATGATCAACATTCACTTATGAAGTCACAGGCCAACATAATAAAACAGGTGGCATTATTCTGGGAGCAGTATATATATATTTTTTTTATTCAACATACATGTTATAAGATCAATAATAAATTTGCAATTTTTTTTTTTATGCTTGTTTTTTAATTTTAACATTTACATTATTTATGTTCATAAAAAAGAAGGACTATTCAAATTTCATATTTTTATCAATATATATATCCAATATTATTGCCATCACATTCTCTTTGAATCATCAGGTGGTTGGAATAATCGAATTGAACCCTTTATTTTGGACACATGGCACATTTGGATAAAGGCATTGGTTAGATAAATGACAGGACCCAAAGAGTGTGAGTTCAATACCCGTTAAAAGGCAGTGGATTTTTTTCATTATAAAATATAACATCAAGATAAAAAAAAATTAACATCCATATAAAACATGGCACAAATGGATTTAGAAATCAACCCCAGTAAGCAAAATAAAGGGTTCAGTTTGAACATTCCAACAAAATGAAGAAATATTTTAAAATTTAAACATTTTGTGATAAATTTATAATAATACAAAGAAAATTACATATAGTCCCAATAATATAAATAATATTATATAAGAATAATCTCAGAAATATATACATAAATTTTTATATATTATATATGTAAAAAAAAATATTTTTAAAAATTGGAATTTTAGAAATGTACCAATTGGAGAATTGTGTGAGAAGATGGAATAAAGTGGAAAATCTACAAATTACATGTTTCAAATTCCTATACCTTTAGATACATATATAAAAGAATCCATATATCCAAGTAAAAGTAAAATAAAATCCATCCTTGATAATGGCTAAAAGTATAACAGAAAGTGCTTAGATAAATAAAACATTCGGACAATTTTTATATAATTTATGTCCTGAAAAGAAAACAATTATAAGAACACATGAAAAACAATATGTAAAAATAAAACTTAACCACAGCACCTTGTCAGTTGATTTTAATGAAACTTGCATATAAGAGTTATTCCATCTCAAATCAACCAATGTTCACAGATTAGCTGCTCAGAATAACTCTTGAAAAATTCACAGGTATCCTTTGATCAAATTTATTGATAAGTCTCAAATATTAGAATTTTAATAGTTTTAAAATTGAAGCATCTTGAAATTTCAATGCATTTTTTTTCATTTTGTTAAATAAGGCTTTCAATGAACTTTCCACATTAATAGTTCCAATGACATTGCATGTACAGATTCAAAACTTGGTTTCAAATAGTTTAGATGATATAATGAATAATACTATATTTCATAAACCTAAATATATATATATTTTTTTCTGATATTATATATATAAATATTGGTTGATTTGATATGGAATGTGTCCAATATATGTAGGTGTAAAAAAAAACCAAATTTGTTAGATTAAACTTTGAAATGTTGTATCTTAGAAATGATTAAAGATACCTTACTGGAATTCTCTGAGGTTTTTATATGACTATTGGACTCCATTTTGAGCAATAAGAATGTATAATTACTCTCCAAGTTTAACAGAAGAATCGTGATGAAATTGATCATAAATGAAATGACATGTTCATCATTAATTAATCATAGCTAAGGATTGGAAGCTCATGAAGGATTGAAATAAAGTTCATATATATATATATATATATATATATATATATATATATTCCAGGATCATTTTCAACTTAGATGATGATCTTCGCCCTTCTAACCTTCTAACTTCCTGTCCGGAGTAGCAAGGCTCCTCACAGGTTTCACGTATGATTTCATTTTCAAGCCTTTTTTCATTGTTCTTTGGACTGTCATAGCTGAAACACCTCTCTCACGTGCCAAACGTCTCATGGATTGTGTTGGATCCTTTCTAATTGATCTCTTTAAATCTAAGTTGAAATGATGATCCCTCTTTCTATTGTGACCTCCTGATCCAGTTTTCCTCTGTACTGTTTCCTCTTTTTTAAACTTATTCACAGTTCTCTTGATGATTCTTGAATGGACTTTGAAGATGGAAGCCAGAGTATGAATGTTGGTATCATTACTGAAGGCCTGAATGATTTTTCCTCTCACCATTGCTCAGTTGGGAAAACAGTGGGGCTGACACAAAAAACAATTTTAACCTGTTCTCTTTCTAGCTGAATAACTCAAAGGGTTTTTCAGTGATTCTTATGACAAATGGTGTCAAGATGGCTAAACGTCTTATCTGAAAACCTGGAAAAAAGAAACTCAATTAGTTCATTAGTTCAGTGTTTTTTAGAAAAAAAAACATTTGTGGGATAGATAATTATGCTGTTACATGATTTTGACAATTTTGTTGTTACACCCAGTATATATATATATATATATATATATATATATATATAAACACAAAATAAAAAAAAAATATGGGTTTACTTTTTTGCATTTTAAAAAAAAACAACACAAAAAAATTAATATTATATATATATATATATATATTATATATATACATAGTTACAAAAATTTTTACATTCATAAATTTAATTTTGCAAATATTTTAAAATTAAAATTAAATAAAAACTCTGTTTTATATAAATTTATTAAAAATTTATTGCTGAATTAAAATTTTTTTCCGAAAAAAAAATTTTTATAAAGATTTTCGAAAAATAATGTTTATCATAAAATTTTTTTGCTTAAATAAAAGTTATTTTAAAAATAAAGCAATAAAGCCAATAATATGTGATTATTTAAATAAATTTTGTAACTTTACAATATCTTAAATTTAAATTTGACATTCAATTTAATCAAGAGCAGATTAACAATGTAAAAACAGGGATAATTTATAAAAAACTATGTAAAAACAGAAAAAAAATTTTATTTAATTTATGTTTGAACATTTTGATCTGATTTTGTTATAAATAAAATTTAATTGCATTTTGTTTTTTTATTTAACAAAAAATCCTGTTTATGAATGTAATATGTTTACTTTTTCCGAAAAAATTTTTTTGATATTCAGGCCGGTAAATGTTATTTATTATTGTTTTTATAATAAACAGAGCATTTGTTAAATATTTGAAATCTATCCATTTTAACAACGTTAGTTTAAACCTATAAATAAAATTTCTTTAATAAAAAAAATTTTATAATTGTCCATTTTTATATATATATATAATTTTTTCAAGTAAAAAAAAAATTTCAGTAAATACAGTGTATTCTTTTATTCTGACAAAACATCAGTACATAACTATAAAAAATGATCATACAACATCATCATATTTAGTTTTCATCAATAAGTCCACCATTTGAACATTTATTTTAGATGAAAAAACTTTTCATAATCACATTTAAAAAAAAAAGCCAGGTGAAAGACAATGAAGAATATGTAGTTCCAACAGTTAAGTATAGTGTTTTTTCTAAAACTGTTTGAAGGAATGCCAAGAATTAGTAAAGCAGTAATTAAGGTAGGTGGTGGTTTTATTGATGAAAACAAAATATGAAGCTGTTGTATGATAATTTTTGATAGTTAAATGGTTATTTTTTTTTGTCATAATAAAAGCAAATACACCATAGTTATTAAAATTTTATCTTTTAGTTTGAAAAAAAAAAAATAAAAAAAAAAAAAAATTTCTCATTTTAAGTTTTTTTAACAGAAATTCAGAGTGGCCCTCAAACTTTTTGCCTGTAGTATAGATATTTATTTTAGAGAAAAGAAATATGACAAATTGGAAAAAGTCTGAAGTCCAAAAGGACAAAACCTGTCACAAAACCTTTTTCCCATTTTGTCATACTTCTTTCCACTAAAATTGTTAATGATTTAAAATAAATATTTAAAGTGAACACTGACATCAAATATTTCAAAAATATAAACAGTTGTCTCAAAAAAAACAAATCGTCAGGCTTAATTGCGTCCAGCATAAAAAACAGCCTGTTGTCTCATTGAATCAAATTTCAATGTTGTTTTTATATTTACATCGCCTAATTGATATGGAAGAAAAAAAACTTTATTCCATAAATATAGCACATAAACCAAAACTATATTTAAATATATATATATATATATATATATATATATATATATATATAAATTAAAGCATTTAGATTAACTGTCCTTTTGATAAAGTATTATTTTAAGTTTTATAAATAAAGGATGTTCCAGTAATTTGGACGGACTTTCCTCAAAATTATTTTAATTTTTTAATGATTTTTTTTTTTTCTTTCAGATTTCTCAAATTTATTTAAAGTGATATTATTTTCACACATAATTAAATGACTTAAATAACATGATCCAATAGAGAATAAATAAATTTTCACCAATAACACTGGTTTATTTACTGCTGACTTTGATCTGTCTTAATGAAACACTTATATATAATCCCTCTTAATGCAACACCTTTTACAAACTGTTCCAGATTTGTCTCTATAACTGATGCAATGAAGGCAGTTTTTAATTTCTTTTCCCTATTTTCAGGCAAATCGATTTCATTAAAGCAAAAATATTTCATGTTTAATTACTTACTTCCCAGCATCAGTTTCTTTGAAATTATTTGAATAATTTGGACATAATTTAATTTCAATTTAAAAAAAAAAAAAAAAATTATATAAAAGAAAAAAACTTTTTATAAAAAATTTGAATAATTCACAATTCATAAAGATAAAAAAAAAATATTTAAACAAAATTATTTTTTTTGAAAAGCAAATGTGAAAACTGTTTTGTCAAGGAAAATAAAATTTAAAATTAAATAAGTAAAATACAGATTTATAATATTCTGTTTATTTTTTTTTTAAATATTTTAAAAACTATTATGAATCCATACATATAAGTTGTTTGATTCTCTTAAATGAAACATTTTCATTTTTAACTTTTTTAATTCCTATTTCTTTCAGCATTGTTTACACCTTGTAGTAGTAGTAGTAGTCGTATAATAGTAGTAGTAGTCATAGTAATAGAATAATAGTAGTATTAGTAGTAGTAACAACAAGTCCTTTAACCCATTTTGGGTCAAAAGCCAAAAGTTAATTCAGCAAAAAAAAAAAAAAAAAAAAAGCAATTGTATTAATTTGACTGAATTTTGTATTGTAGAGCCCTCAAAATCCACTTTATATGTCATTTTTTAAAAAGTGTCAAGTTAAACCTGCCTATCACTTATAACATTCATTTCAACTAGATTCCAATGACTTTCCAAGCAAAAAGACATGTAGTACTAGATTGGAAGCTAGGTCTCATCATTTTACAGTTGAAATTGATAGATGTGACCATAACTTCTATGCTAACAGTTTCTTCTCTTGCACTTCTCACTTGTGGAACTCTTAGTTTCTTGCTTCCCAGTCAACTTTGATCTTTAAAAATTTAAATTCAATATCAATCGTTAGCTTCTGTCTTCTTAATTCATGTTCTTTTATTGCTCTCTCCTTAATAATGTTTTTATATTTCTCATTCTTTCTCACTCAGTAACTCCTTGCATTTTAATGACTTTATTGCCTTACTTGGGGTGAAATGATTAAAAAATAAAAGTAATAAAAAAAAAAAAAATAAAAGTCCTGACATCGTGAGACTGTCTACTTACAGACTAGATATAGGACATATCACTTGAGAAATGCTTCAAAAATTCAAAATGTCTGCTTGCAAACCAACTATATGAAGAGACATGGAATTTAAAAAATGCCCAGCTGAGACAGTTCATTTTGCAGTAATTTCAACCATTGTACACTCTAGCCTTCTTCAGGTGATACATGTTGGAATTTCAAATCGAACCTTTTATTTCATCCACATGGCCCAATGGATAAAAGTGTTGGTTGAAGTAATCCAGTGACTTGACCTAAAGAGTGGTGAGTTCAATACCTGGCCACAGCAGAGGTGAACAAAAACTAGGAGAGTTGAGTTACTAAAGAGAAATAACTGAGACTGAAATATCCAGAAAAGGCATGGCATGTGGAACTAGAACAATCTACCCCAGTGGATGAAATAAAGGGTTCTCTTCGAAATTCCAACATATCACCTGAAGAAGGCAAAATGACAATAAAAATGGGGATAACAGTCCAAACAATGTAAATAGTGTAAATAGTTACAATACCTCATCTCAGAAATAGACAGATATTAAACCTCATTGCCCTGTGATATGCCATAAAAGATCCAGCAACGTAAGCTCAATGATCTATTCGGTTAGAATCCTTAGCTACCCTAGAGTATTGCCATAATTAAATCCTACTTACAGGTTTGACCCCTGCTTTGCAAGCATCACAAAACCATGGCTCAGTACTTGCTGAAGATTCTGTGCTGGCTGCTGACTGATTATCACTGATCCCATAACAACCTGGTGAAATTGAAACAGAATAAAATATGGAGTAACATGAAAAACATCTTTTAAGAGCTGGTAAAAAAAAGGTTTTCAATCATAGTTACAAAGATAGCGTTAAAAATGAACTGTTTGAATCACAGATATACCTATGTAATATTGATCCAATTTTTATGTTTGTTATAGCAGAAACAGCAATTTTTGTGAGAGCATTTTAACAGTGCTTCACTTGAGAAATAAAACAATTTCCAGTTCAATCAGACCATTAGGTTCTGAGTAATTTTTGAAGAAGTCTGTTCAAAGAAGAAAATTCCAAGTCTATTAACTGCTAATTTCAGTATTGTTTCCATTTTACTTAATAAGTAAAATATAAACAAGAAAGAACAGTTGAATCTTAGCAATCATTAGTATTTGCAAATAATCTATTCTATAATATAAAACAATGGGACATTCTATATTTATTAATCCCGTACTGTTTGATCACCTATTTATGAGATATGGCAATATTATTGTTAATGGTGAAATTAACCATTTGCATACAAGAAACATTCAACATTCATTGATCAAACAGTTACCATCATTTCTCAGTTGAAATTTATAAAATTTTTCTCTTAAACCAGTTTCTCAGGTTCACTATTATTGCTCATTCTAGTACTGATGAGAGAGTCTTTCCAAAACTTTATTTTTGATAGAATAGAAAGTTTATATCATTATTTTCTCTGCTAGTTATGTGTGCTTTCCACTTTTGGTGTTGCTGTTCTTGGAAGTCTTCAAATGATGTGGTTTTTTTGTTATTTAGTAAAGCTCTTTGTGATTTTGTAGCACCAATTGTCTTCTTTAAAACCTAGAGGATCCATTTGCTTGAAGCCATTTTTAATCATTGAAAACAGTTCTATACAGATTATAGTTTCTAAGTTAGATGTCATGTATGGAATCCACATGAGAGTCTAGATCTAAAGAGGCATCACTTGTCTCATTGTGTTACCATAACAATAGAACATCTCATTAGTAAATAAGAAAGATTAAGTTGCTAAAACATTGCTTTTTCTTTAGCATTTTTTTTTTTAAAGTATTTTTTACTTTTAACAATTTAACAAGCAGAATTCTTTCTTACATACAAAAGACTTAATTACACAGATAAAAATCCTGGATTACTAGTAAAGAAAATATCAATGCAATTGCAAAGTTACTTAAATATGATTGTCATTTTCTGATGGTGGGGGTCATATTTCTTTGGACATTTTAAAAGGAAGAATCCTTTAATTTATCCAACAATAGTTAAATGTAAAGATATAAATCGTAAATTGCTCATGAAGAAAATATAACCAATGCAATTATAAAATTAACTGTATACTGACATCATTTTCTGATAATACAAGTAAATTTGACATCATGCTTAAATGCCATGAAAGGCAGCAATTAAGCAAATATTCATATTTTCTTTCTGAGCCATGTTCTGGCATAATTTTTTTTTAATTGATTAATTCCAATTATGACTATTGCTGCTTTTCTCTTTAATTAATGCCACGTTTCACTATTTTTCAGTTCCATACATCATCTCTTCTTATTTGTATGATGATAATTATTTTGTTATGAATAAAAAATGCTAGCCAAAGTTTGGGGCATTTGACCATAAAAAAAAAAAAGACAATGACTTAATCTAACCATAAACTTAAAATGTTTTAACTTAAGAATTTCCAATTAGAGAAATGTCCAAAACAATTAAAAAACGAAAATTATGAGCAGAGAATAATGTAATGGATAAAAGAGACAAGACTAAACATAAACCAGTACAATCTTTCTGAATTATGTCAGACAGGAACTAGAAAAAAGGGAAGGAAAAGACAAGTCTTAGATTTGCTGTTTAATTGACTAAGTGAAAATGTTATATAAAACAGGAACAAGACATTACCTTCATGGACAGAGACTCCACAATTATCACATTCAACAATTTCATCATCTTCTTCACTATATAAAAAGATAAAAAAAAGACCAAGATATTAATTTTCTAAGAGACAAGTAAAGCTAATCATTTACAAGATTTAATGAGAATAATCTGTTAATATTCTTTTAGTTGTTAACTAGGCACAATGTACAGGGTGTCCAAAGTCACTTAGAGATTTAAAAATGTCATAACATGTCAAATTTTTCATAGTTTTCTTAAATTTTTTTTCCGAACTTAACATTAGGAGATTACCTATGAAATAAGTTATAAGTTCAAAATTATGGAATTGTATTTTAGATTTAATCAATTCATCATTCAAACGCAAAGAGAATGCTGCCAACACTTCAATGCCAGAAAACCAACATCGAAATTCTGAAATGTTTTGGCCACCACATTCTCTTGATTTGACACTTCTGGATTATTTTATTTGAGGATACTGTAAGGAACATATATACATGAATAAACATCAAACAATTCACAACTCAAGGATAACATCTATACAGAAATTCAAAGGCTGCAACCAGTTATTAACTGCTGTTATGGAGAATGTTATCAAAAGAGTGTATCAAAAATGGAGGACATTTACATCATAATTTTTCATAATTAAATGAAAATATATTTCCTAGGTAAATTCTATATAAAACTATTACACTACCCAAACATCCAAACTTACAACACCTGATATTCCTAAGTGGTCACCCCTCTAATACTGACCAAGCTCAGTGTTAATCATATAGGAACTGGGGTTTCAACATGATGTGGCCGTAAGCAGTTATGCCTCTAGAACAGAGTTATTTAGTGCTATACGTTGTGGTATAGATCACCCTTCTTCAAGTTGACTAGGATAGTCTTTACTTTTATCTTATCTTTAATGGGTCCTCTAGGCTAGTCGTGTCATAAAATCAGTGCCATATAGGGGAATGGTCATTATAGTCATTAGAATATGTTTTACATTATGCCTCTAATAGTGCTATTTAGTAGTGCTATACTTCAAGTAGGCTAAGATAGTCTCTACTCTTTAGACATAGTCATGTCATAAAATCATTGACATATAAGAGCAAGGTCAGTACAATTGGTTAGAATATGTTTTACAGTCTATGCCTCTTGACATGCCATACATTTAGGAGGATATTGATTTTTGGTGAAAAACAATAATATAAGTGAATCCTATTCTGATTTTTGATAGGCTGAGTTCTTCCTTCCAAGAAAGTGTGAAACCATCTGATAGTGTGGATGTTGATATGCCTAGGTACCCAACAGAAGACATGTGTTTTTTATTCCTTGCAGATGAGATTGATCCTGTTTAGTAATTTAACTACTAAGGGATCGTTTGTGTTTTTGTTTCTCGGTGATTAAATACAGATAGTAAATCTGAGAAAACTATGAAAATGTCTGGCTCATTGTCCACTATGATGTCTGAAACTGTCTATGGCTATATTTTCAGCACTAAATATAGGATGTCAGGTAGGCGTTTTTTGATTGTTATGTCATCAAGAACAACTGAACATCAAACTTTATCAATGTCTTTTTATAGTTTAGGTGCTTTTGTATAATAATATTGATTTCTCCTAAAATGGTAGATAGGGTGTTTGGTAAGGTTTAGTAAAACTGTTGGCTGTTTTGTTAACCAAGGAGGGTTTCCCAGTGTAGTAGATTAAACAGTTAAGGGTAGTGTCCAGTTATGATTTATTAATAGTTTTCTATGTAATGGGTGAGAGGTTTGATGGTTGGTTGTTTTTTTTTTTTGGTTGAATAGATCTTTACATTGTGGTTGGGAAACACTTTTGAATGCATGGCTATTCAGACAGGAATGTAGTCTGGTATAACATTGTAGGACTAATTTTGTCATCTTAGTGTGTGTTTTGATGTAAAGACTTTCCACCAAAGAGGTTCTAAAAGTATCTAGGATGAGTCATAGTTCCTGATGATGATTGTATCATGTATGACTTCTTTGCAGCACTATAAATGAAACAATCACATTCCAGTCCAGACCTAACTAGAGATCAATATAATTTCAATAGGGTCTATCAGCTCCCCAATCTGTATGAATTGTTTTATTACATTTAGTTTGGATATATTTAATGTGAGGTACAAAAGATAACCTTCTGTCAAAGATAATGCCCATGAATTTATGTTGGTCCACTACAGAAGCATCAAGTTTTAAATCAGAGCTGTGGTGCAGAAAATAAACAGAAATGTACAAACTGATTTTTTTTTATTTTCCATAGGCCATTTATTAACTTTATTTAGACATTTTTGTTGCTGCTTAATTATATAGATATTTTCTTATCTATAGCACATAAAAAAATGACCAAAATACAATGAACAATCAATTCCTGGATTCAGGCATTTAACGATACCATTTATTTTAATATTAAAAAGAGTAACTGATAAGGTACTCTCTTACGGTACACCCATTTCTTGATCATACAGATAAGAAAGATGGGTGCCAACTCGGACACTGAAAGCATGTTATGTTAGGAAGCTATTAATAAAGATTGGCAGTTTTGCTTCAAGACTTTTTTTTTTTTTTTAGATCTTGTATGATGCCAGATTCCCATGTTGTATCATACTGTTTCTAATAGATTCCAGGAAAACTAGCTGATCTATTGCACTTTTGTTATTTCTTAAACCAGACTGGAAGGTTGTAATTATTCAAGGAACCACGTAAGACTATTATTAATCATGTTTGACAGTTTTGAAAAGAGAGCTAGTACGGGTGATTGGCTGATAGTTTGAAGGATTTTCTCAGTCTTTGGAATTGGAATCATGAGGACTTGTTTTCAGAGACTGGAAATATTGCCACTGATCCATATATTTTTATATCTCTCAAGTAAGTAGTTGAAGTAAATGTCTGGTAAGTTTTTTCAAGAATTTGTAGTGGAATTTCTCGGGAACAGCAGCGGAGTTATATAATTTATTTTGGGAGTTCTGATATATGGTTGATTATAATCTTCATTACTCAAATAGAAGCTTAGTTTCTTCTCTTCATTATTTTTTTTAATATTCTGGAATTCTTTACAGTGTTTATTTTATGAGGAATGTTTTTTAAAAAAATTTGGGCTAGTAGATTTGCGATATCCTTTTTGTCGGTAACTTTAGTGTTGTTTTGTGATAAATGTTTCAAGAGTGTAGTTTTGTATTTTTGAATCATATTCCAAACAGACATAATTTTGGCATTGGAATTGATCAAACTGGGAGCAAAGTGTAGTGTCTGTTCTCATCTCTAATGGTAATGGTAACATTAGCCATTTCTTTACAAAGATTCAGCATTCATTGACCAAGCAGTCAGCGCTACTGAAGTTATACTTTTCTTCACTCCTTGACCATCTGGCTGGGATCAAAGTGTAGTATCTATATCCCTCATCTCTAATAATAATGGTAAGATTAGTCATTTCCTTATAAGGAAACATTCAGCATTCATTGATCAAGTGTTGTCACAGATTGAAATTTATAAAAACTTTCTATTAAAACAATAAGATCAATATTATTACTATTTCAAGTATTGATAGGGGCTTCCTTCCTAACTTTTTGTTTGAAGTAGCATGGAAGGTCAACATCTTCATGCCATTATTTTCTCTGAGCTATATGTTCTATCCATTTTAGTTGTTGGTGTTGTTGAAGGTCCTCAACTGATGTGGTTTCTATTAGCTGGTACAGTTCTCTGTGAATCTGTAGCACCAGTTCATAGAAGGATGGTCCTTGCTGAGACCTACAGGCTTCATTAGGTGCCCCATACTATGAAACTGAGCCAGACTAGGCTAAATTTAATAAATCATTTATAGCTAGTAGTACCTGTGAAAATTTCATGGTTTTGTTATTTGAATTTTCTGATGGATCTTAAGTCAATGATTGAATAAGCTCTTTGAGAGTTCTGCGACCATAAAATATCCATGGAAATTGCATTGTTAAATATTCAAACTTAACAACTTTAACAAAATATTACAATAACAATCATAAATATGAATGCAGATCATTATGTAAAGAAGTACAAAAAGATTTCAAATTAAAAGTTTTTCTATTTTACTGGAGCAGACGTTAAACACATGAGAATGTTATTATCATCTCTTCTTTTTAACAGAAACTAGTGTTTCTGATACGTCTTTTTCATTGTCTTTCCTCTCAATTAAATCAGAATAAGGTATTGGCAAGACGTGCTAATAAGGAAGAAAAAAACAAGTAAAATTACAATGATGGTAAATGGCACAAATCAATGCAGCATTTTCTGTTTTTCAAAGTGTTAAAAAAAAAAAAAGGGAATCATTTTTTAACAAATAATTAAACTCAAGTATTAAAACAACACTATGAAAACTAATCCAAATTTTTTTTTTTTTGCTTTTGTTTTTTTAACCTAATTTGCAGAAAAAAAAAAAAAAAAAAGAATAGACTCACCTAATATCACCTAAGCATACACAACAGATAAGCACTTTAATCTGACCAGCTTTGGTAGGGATAGGAGTGGCTGATGGCGTTACTGGAGTAGTTTGAAGAGGCTGCAAGAAAAAACAAGTATATCACATCAAAATATAGCTACACCACCAATATTCTAGCAACAGATGATCAGACACATTTTTTTTAATCTAGTCCAAAATCATGAATTTTTTTTTTTTTTTTTTTTACAAACTAGTTTATGTTGAAATTCCTCATCTACATATCAATCTAATCATTCTAAAACAAAAAGTTTTTAAGTTGCATTCCAATTGGCTTGATACAATTACAAGTCACGAGTCCCACTAAAAGTTCCTTCCTGTTGACAGTGACATTTCTCTGCCAAGCAAATCTAAAACAGCAGTCTGTCTATACAACCATATTTGACCAAATTCCAAAGATGAGATGTTCATTTATTCCAAAGGGTAACGAACAATGCAAAGCAAGAATATTCAACTCTCCTCTTGCTATACACACATACTAAGAACAATGATATAACTTTGAAAAAATATGAGTCAATTTTGCTTTTTATATAATCCACTCAAATAGTTTGTAATGTATGTGACAGTGATGCAATCAGTTGGTGGATTTCACAACATATCAACCCCTGTTTAGTTATTTAATCATTTTTTTTTTATTATTATAACAACCGAGTCCATAGATAAATATTGGTCATTTATATTTGAGTGTAAGTATTTACTTGGATAGTTGATTTCTTTGGGAGGATGGGATTACCTCTACTGCAGGTGAAACAGCATATTCTAGGTTCTGTCAACAAGGTATGTGACATTAGTGGATGCAAATATATGATATGGCTGGCTGTTCGTATCCAAGGATGCCTGTCTACTAGGGCAGCTAGCCAATCCCTATTGCAGACACATGCTCAGGTACATTTGTGTTCGTTTCACACCCACAGAGTCCACCTGTGGTTTATACTGCAACTATGTTGAGCTGACTTTAGTTACAGTTTCTGGGAGAGAGCACATTATCTGGTGTGATCAAGAGTCTGAACAAGGCTAGCATGTTCAAACACTTGGTCACAATGACTTGTGACTTCATGCTAGCACAACCATCAATGGCTCTCAAATAATTCTGTCTACCCAATTTCACTCACAAGGCTTAGGTGAACCTGTGGTGTGATTTTTCGGGCACTTTCCAAAGGTGCAGTATACTGAAATTGTCTGCCCCAGATGATAACATCAAGTCATCTTCCTGAAAAATTGATCATGGTGAGATTCAAACCCAGGTTACATGATCAGAAAGTAAATGGTTTAACCACTCAGTCATGTGCACATACAAATATATAAATAAATACTAATTAAAGAGAACTGTTAATTAATTATGTCATAATTTTATCTGTAAGCAGCAAGACAAGACTCAGATCCATTTGTCGAGGACTATTTGTGGTTGTAAATTGATAAATATGCTAATATCTTGTAAAGTACTATGAGCTCAGTCTTTGTTGAGGGCTCTAGAAATGCAGCCCTCTGCCAAGGCTGAGCTGGTCCAACAGTCACAAATTTGCACTGTCACAGTTATTTTAATAAATAAAATTAAATAGGGAAGACTGGGTCATATAGCTTTGGTTGGCAATCAGTCTACCAGAGAAAATAATGGTAGACTACAGTGGGAACTCTTTTGCTAAATCAATCATGAATCAAAAAGAGACATATTTGCACAAGCATGCATCATGAATGGCACTTAAGGAAGGATTTTAATACCTAGTAATTCTGGGGTGAGCACTTTAATACTTAATGACAATAGGAAACTGATCAATTTATGTCCTGTAAAATTTATATGAATAAGTCAATCATGAATCAAAAAAAGACATGATTGCCCAAGTGCGCATCACACGTGGCACCTATGAAAGAAACTGTATAGAAGTGCAGGTTCCAAATAGAAGAATAGAAGGTTCAAACTATCCTGAGGAGTATCATTAAAATAAAAAAAATAAAATTAAAAAAGACAAATCATATGCTAAAGACAAAGGACTAACATCAATTTGTGAATCTGGACACTTATGGAAGGATTTTTCTGTAAAGATATTGGTGTTGATGGGCTTCACTTTCTCAGCTGATGGTATGCCTAACAAGGAACTGAGTGTCGCAGAGTCATCTTCCTCATCATCTTCATCCTCCTCCTCCTCATCATCATCATCATCACTGGGTTCATGGGTAGCTCCTGAGTACTTCAGCTCAGAACCAGAAACACTTTTATCTGTATCACCATCTTCCTCTTCTTCCTTTATGGATATATCACTACCAGAATCCGACCCTGGAAAGATGAAAGTACAAATAACAAAATGGTTGCATATATACATCAAATAAAACTATCCCACAACTGTGTAGATCATTACAGAACCCTATTTAAACACCTTAAAATGAGATTTTTGTATATTTTAAAGTAAAATATACAATTTCAGTAACTGCAGTATATTTGCCTTTCTTTTTGACAAAAGATAAGCACTTAACTATAGAAATATTATCATACAACAGCATTATATTTTGTTTTCTGTCAATAAAACCACCACCTGCCTTAATTACTACTTGAAAAATTCTTTCAACAATTTTTGAAAAAAAGTAGATGCAGACCTTTTTAAACATTCTTCTAGCATTGAAAAAGTTCACTCTCATTCTTTGGGTATTCTCTTCGAACTCTCCTATCCAATTCATCCCATACTAATTCAACGAGAGAGAGTCAGGATTTTGAAAGCTGTTACTTTTTTTTTTTTTTGATTGGAGATAATTTTGATATAATTTAGAAGAGTGTTTTGGATTATTGTCTTATTGAAAGATTCATTTTGTTTCCAATTATGTGTGAACTGGATGGTAGCACATGTCTTTGCAAAATCAAATGATATTGTTCTTTGTTCATGATTCTCTTCATCTGAATAAAATCTCCAGCCTTTTTGGTAATTTCAAAAGTCTACCGAAAGGTTAATGATGGAAACAAAATATATTTCTCATACAAAATATTCATAATTTAGAAAATGTATTGTGAACAGACAAATTCAAATTTGAACATTTTGGTAGTAAGAGGTGCCTGGCAAAAGACTGAAAAATAAAAGCAAATACACTGTAGGTACTGAAATTTTATCTTTTACTTAAAATACAAAAAATCTCATTTTATGGTGTTTTTTTTTAAAAAAAAAAAAATACAGAGTTTCCAAAAACCTTTTGCCTATAGTGTATTCATCGACAATTATTCAATATATATTTTTCTTAAAGGAATTAATGGATTTTTATCCATAGTCAAATATCATCTCTTATTACCATATACGTTATATTTAGTGAATTTGAGTAGACAGAGGTTTGAATCTTGCTGAAGAGAACATTTTCATTAAAAGACACAAAAACCCAGGATGGTAGATGAAAATATAATTTATAAAAAACAGATATCTACTCAAACATGTTTATCCACTAAATATCTTATATATAAAGTACAGCGTATGTGTGTTTGTGCATGTATGTGTCGAAGCAACTCCTCCGTTTTGACTGGTCAGATTTCAATGATTCATAGCTCATTCAAAAGTCCTAGAAAAGTTAGGTGCAGGAATGATTTTCATTGGGCTCAGATTCAGGGTAGCCAAATTATGCAAGTTTAAAAATACATATTAATATATTATACTAGCCATTATTGTTGCTTTCATGGTTCAAGGAGAGTAACTCATTTACCTTTTGTAGTCAAAATCCAAAATTGCAGTGCACGTTATATGATGAGGAGCCTGAGTGCGTACACCTGGGCTAGAAACAAAAATTGCTTGAGTACCTGCAACCATCGGTTGCACTGTGTGACACTATTTAGCTATGGTAATTGATTAAATAATTAACCATAAAAAATTAAACAAGGAAATACTGAGAACGGAAAAGAAGATACCCTGAGGTTTTATTTTTACTTTATAAAAAAAAAAAAAAAAAGTTACTTTTCTTAAGAACCTGAGAATTTGCATAAACAGAAGACTCACAAAAAGGCCATATGCAAGCTTTTGACAATTGCTTAATGATGTTTGTAAAAGTACTGGTTAAGAAAAACACAAGAATCAGAAAGCGTCTAAGATATCATTTGAAATCGCAAAATTTTAGAAGCTGGCCAAGTCACAGGGCCATGTGTTGTTTGTAGGACGAAAAAGGGAATTTCAAGAACAAGTTGATAATTCTAAATCCTGAATAAACACTCTCCAAGAAACGGGTTGGGAAAAACACATACTTCTGTATAGAACAGACTGATAAAAGTTGATTTGCTGTCTTTCAACATAACCAAATATTTTTGGTTTTCATTTATTTCTTTTTTCGCTTGTTCAATGTCACCTCCAGTTTAGACTCATCTTGCACTACGGCCCCAGTGCCTGATTGATCTTGTCTACCTAAGATCAAATCACAATGTGGGTAGGTTAGACTTGAGATCGAAGTAGTTACTTTAGTAACCAGTCATTGGAAGTGAGCTGAGAACAACGGAGCTGGTGTTGGACCGGTTGCATCTGGTGTGAAGCCATTACAACCAACTGACCATCCCATCTGGTACCCTGGCCAAAGGATCCTGCTGGATAGCGGCAACCTCCGATCAACTGGGTCACATATTGGTGGCAGCAACTAAGAGTCAACTCCAAAAACGCTGGTAGATGTTATCACAGCTTCATGCCGCAACTAGGAGCTGACTCAGGGCCAACAATATGGTGTCACAGCTGGCCTACGAGCAAGCACCAATCCCTCTTTCTGGTGCAGCCTTGGGCAACTGTTTCCCAGGGCTGGGCACCTCTCAGTATAATGTTCCTCAGTTGCAAATGTCCTTTGACGGAGCCACCCCTAAGTGCAATCTGCCCAAAGACAGAGACGAAACTGAGAGATGATAAATAAAAGTATGAAACTACTTGATAGTATTTTATAATGCTAAAGGCTCAATATCTGTATTATATATTATCTACTTCTAGGTAATATCACTCTTCAGCTTTAACTAATTTGCATAGGGATTTTAAAAAAGCATATTTCATTAATTTACTGTCCTTCATTAGTGTTCTTTTATTCAAAGATTGTTTTGATTTTCATATCAAAAATAGTTCTATTTAGGAATATTGTCTTATATAGTGCAGAAAAGTGTAGTTAATATTAAGTGTTGGCTTTTTCTTTTTTATTATTAAGGTTTCCATTATTTTTAATCTTTTTTTACATGTGAATGAGGTTATTATGTTTGTATTTTCTAGTAGGTTTTGGATGGAGTCTGGTAAGTTTGCGTGTGTGTTTAAATGGGTTCTAATAGAGCTGTGGTCAGACAGGTGTAATGTAAGGCATCTGGATAGGCATGTAGTAGTGTGACCAATGTAATTATTTATGAATTCGGTTTGATTACGAACACAGTTTCTTAAGGGGCATTTGAACACATAGATAATATTCATTTGTTGTAATTTTGATTTTGCAGGTGTGCTCTTGAGGTATAGAGTTACAGACTAAAAGGCAGTTTATGTGGATAGGAGTGTAACATTACAGCTAACCCTAGATTTGAACATGTTAAGATTGTAGTAATCAGAGAAACATCCTCTTGGGAGTCAGTTCTACAGAGTATTGGTTTGCTGGAAGGTGTTTCAGTAGAACTTACATCTTACCAATTGAATACAGAGGCAATGAGGGTGGTTTGTTACAATATGAGTAACATGGCAGGTCCAAGGAATGCAGTTTGTCCAAGCACTTTCCATCAAAGTAATTTGTTACCCACAAGGACACTTTTGAACTCTATTAAGACTGGAAAGTGAGGACTGGACAGCTTCTGCCAAAATATAATAACAGTACCCCATTTTAGGTTTGATTTGGCTCTTGTAAAGTTAGAGGATAGTACATGCAGTCAGGTACTTACTGGAGCCATACAGGGAACTGACCATTTTTACTGCAACTTTAGCGATGGATCATATGTACGAGTTCCACTTGAGGTCTGGGGTGTGTTTAAGGTCTAATAGTCTCTCAAGTCATGGAGTGTGTTCAATACAATGTATAGCTTATAAAATGTAAAAATATGTAAAATTCTTTTTCAATGAGAGATCATCAGGCCAGGCTATACTTTTACAAATATGAAAAGATGAAGTTCACATCTGGGTTGCATATTTACTAGCAAATACCTTTCAGCATATAGACAATACAATATTATTTCCATGCTTTTATTCAGTAACAAACTTGGGTTTGGGAAAAATCAAAATTGCCAAAATTTGCAAAATCTTTTTCCTTCTGTATAGCTTTTACTTTTTCTTATTATGCTCCATAGTACCTTCAGATGAAGGTCTATTCATCCACACAACTGTGTATGTCATGCAACTTTATAGACAGAGGAAGGAAGCAAGACAGACATATATATATATATATATATATATATATATATGCTTATTTTTTATTTTAATCCTCTCAAATTCACAGATCAATTTTTTAGTGTTATTAAAATGATTAAGAAAGACACTAGTTTTGGTTATTTCTTTTATTTTTCCAAGTACTTTCAATGTCATCCGGAATCATCTTCAGGGATGAAGACAAAAAATAATAGATAGTTGTGAATTTTTTTGTAAATGTGCAGGAAATGCAGTCTGTTATAGTCAATTTAATTAACTGTTAAGAATATGTAAAAGGGAGGTAACTTTATTATAATTTATATTCTTTTATTATTAATGATTTAAAATACTCAACCTGCAATTTTTAAAAAAAGATTTTTTTTACAATTTGAGTATCCCAAGTCATTGCTTTCATAAATATTTTAAAACATTGTTGCTATACTCATAATTAATGTTATTTAGTGTTGGTTGGATTTTTAACAGCAAATTTAATAATTTCCAATTTCTCATGTAAACATAAAAAGCAAGGTTCATTTAAGGATTTACACATTCTAGCTTTTTTAAAACTTTCCATTTAACCATAGGAGTTTTATCAACCTTTTTTAAACTCCAAAAATATTTGGAAAGAGATGTTCTATTTTTATAAGTGCTATTGGTGAAAGGTAGGATATATTGGTACCACCTAATATTAAAAGAATTCTTAGTTTTCCTCTATAAAATCATTCAATAGTTGGATTTTCTATTGTAAAAATAGTCTCTTTTTTATTTTTTTTCTTTCTTTTTCCTACATTGCTAATCCCTCTAATTTCAGTCCTGGTAGGTTGATAATCCTCATAGGAAGTTTAGCTTCAAAATCCGGTTTATGATCAGAACATATTATTCGTATTTCTGGTAGTTCTATTTCATATGGTCATAATAAGTAAAATGTGGTGAACCTTCTATGAATGATTATTTTATTTTATTTATTTGAATTTACTATAGTTATATATTGCTTTTTGGTTGGCATTATCAACATCTTGTATGAATATTACACATTTTTTATTTTTAAAACACTTAAGTTGCATTTACTGGTTTTTTTAAAGAAGACTTTTTATTATCAACTATAAAATATATGTTACAATTAGCTATACATTTGATTGTCTTCCTATCCCTGCCCTTACCTTCTAGAATTGAACAAGTCTCATTTGTTTCGTAATTATGATACATGGTTGCCACTTGCTTACAGTTTGTATTAATTTCTTGACTGCCACTCATGACCTTGTCTAGGATTATATTTCAAAAAAGCAATTTGGTTTTATATAAAAAATTACCTTTCTTAGATTGATTGCCTTCACCATGGCTATAGACACACACACTCCTTTGAGAGAAATAATTTTATTTTTAACATAAATAACAAGTTTCAAACTTAACAGAAAAATTTTTAAACCGAGATGGCAAAAAAAAAAAAAAAAAAAAAAAAAACATACTTGGACCAACATAGAAATAAAAGTACTAACCTTTTACATGTTTTTCCACTTCAAAATCACTGTCATCATCACTGTCATCTAAGCCCCCAAAATCTATTTGTATCAAATGTTTTTGAACAGGTTTGACACGCCGTTTCCGTGGATCCCTTTGAACTGAAATAAGTGAAAAATATAAATACAGATTTTTAAAATAAAATCTCAGAATAACCCAACGATGAAATGTCTTTTATAGAAAACTAGCAGTAGAGCCCGGCGTTGCCCAGGGATGTAACAGTAAGCGATAGATCAAGTATGGACGATCATAGAGACTGAAAAATAAAATTGACAAAGATTATTGTTTAAGGTTGACGGACACGCATGTCTTAATTTTTTTTTTTTTTTTTTTTTACGAATTGGTCAAACCCAAATTCAAAAAAAAACATTGTTTACAATCGTTATGATTTATGGAAATAATACAGTAATTCCATCTACGTTTTATTGCGCAACGAAGTTTTCCTCCTTCCTTCCACATTTGTGCATAAAGAAATAAGCGTCCACTGATTACACCCCTTCCTTTCTGGTTATTTTAAATATAGTAGTAAACCTTTTCTTTAGTTATTTAAAACTAATTACAAGTTATTGTCGTTTTATCATCTCCTGCTGATGTCACCAATCTAACAAATTTAAATTACCCGTCAGAGGAATATTTTTTCTCTGACATCACAGACAAACTAATCGTTTGAGTTCAGTCGGACTAAAATTATATAAATCCATGAAGTTGACTCATTTATTCCTCGTCAGTCAACCTTAAATACAGACAGGGATATCTTACTGACAACAAATAATTCTTCATCCCTTTTGGCTCGTCATGTAAATAATTTTCTTCAAGACGATGCAACCAACAACAAATAAGTCTTTTTTTGGCTTGTCATTATAAATAATTTTTTAGCAGCAAATTCAATGCCTGATCCCAAAATCTGAGATGACTGAACTTTTCTCAAGCCCATGAACCTGAACAAAAAAGGGTAAAAAAAAAAAAACAACACAAAAACACTACACACAATTACAATACCCAAATCCACAGTAAGTACTTTTTTTTATCTGTGCACATCTACACCTCGTGTTAACGAAGTTTTTTTTCCAGAACTTAAAAAAAAAAAAACTTTTCCCGCCTTTGTTCACCTTGCTATCCTATTTTATGATTGAACATTTTCCCTGATCTCATACCACGAGATCATCTACTTGTTTTTCCATTTAATAAAAAAAATTACACTTGTTTTGAAAAAAAAAAACTTTTTCCCGCCTTTGTTCACCTTGCTATCCTAAACCAAAAAAAAGTGAAGTTTTGTTGAAATCGGTTGAAAAATGTAGATAGCCTTTCTCTGTAATCTTTTACAATTTATGATTTTTACTTATTGAATACAGTAAAAAAAAATTGCATATTTTGCTTGTGATGATTCATAATTAGAATTCTGATTTGAATATATTTTCCACTCGTTGTTTCTAATACAAAAAATATTAACTTTATTTGGGTTTATTAATTTATTACAAGTACTGTGTTCTTTCCTTAATAATTATCATCTTCAAAATATTGTTGTTTTTTGTCTATCAGATTTCTTACGTCGGCATTTTTAAATTATTTCTTAATACTTTTTTTTAAATATTGAATTAATTTCAAATAGAACCAATGCCTTATTGATTGCCTTGTAACAAATTGCAAAGGGAATTGAAAAAACGGCACTAAAGCATGTGGAATTATCTTTCCCTATTTTATCAAATCGAAAAAAATGATTGATTATCTGTCCTTTTTTTTGACCAAAAAAAAAAATATTTTTAACGAAAATTTCAGACGTTTAAGAACGATTAAAAATGTAAAAAAAAAAATACCCCAAAAATACTTTGATCTTTCCTCTTTAATAATAATATGAACATTAGACGATAAAATTTTGTTTTCGTCAAGTTCGGCTTTTTTTTCATCATGCTATGCTCTTTTGTTTACATTTTCGTGGGTGAGTTGTCCCCCTTTCATTCTCACAAAGTGTCTTAATCGTGTTTTCAAATTGATTTTGTTTAAAAAAAACAATGTGTTTTTCCCATTTTCAGCAAGAAAAAGAACCACCACAAGGTAATTTTATGCAGTCCTGTGAAGTTTTGTTGAAATCGGCTAAAAAATGTAGGAAATTCGATCCAATATATAAATGTTACAGACACACACACACAATCTGCGTTTTATAATAAGTAAGATAAGTTTAGTTTGTTCATTTTATAAAAGAAACTTAATGAATTGGTTGAAAGTTTAGTTTAACTGTTAAAACAACAAAAAAAAATATAATATCAAGTACAAGTATAGTATCCATCAAAATAGTGAGATTATTTACATATGGATCAGTACTTCTGTCTAAAGTCAGAAAATACTTTGCTCTATTTCTAAACTAATTTAAATTATTGCTAAAAAACAAAAAAAACAAAAAAAAATATAACACTGATTTTAACAATATCTAGAATTCTTTCAGCACAACATAATTTTCTTCAAGGACACATGGCACAGTGGATAAAGGCGTTAGTTAGATCCAGTGACAGGACCCAAAGAGTGTGAGTTTAATACCTTGTTAAGGCAGTGGAGAACTTTCAGAGGAAATTAACAGAAGATAACTGACATCCATTAAAACATGGTATGTGGAACTAGAACAGTCTACCCCAGTGAGCAAAATAAAGGGTTCAGTTCAACATTCCAACCACCTGAAGAAGGCCCGAGTGTACAACAGCCGAAACATTGTAATAAATATGGCGATGAGGACAATAGTCCGAATATTGTAAATAATGTACATAATTTTCTTTATTAAAAAATCTTTCAAAAATAAAATATACTTTTATGAAACTTTATTTGAAGCAGATTAGCGAATTTAAAGTTTAATCAATTTGTTTTGAAAAGTTTCAAAGTTTGTTATTTTAAGGTTACACTTTACAAATTGCTGTACGCAAAACAACTTTTCTTGTGGTGTGGCCATTTTAAGGGTTTACATACACTGGTTTAATTATAACAATTTCAATTTATACAAAATCTGGAGAAAAAAAAAGTATTTAAACAAGATTGAAAAAAGTTTTCATTTATTTTAATAACTTTGAACTTTTCCCTATCTAGTAATGCTCTTTCTTTTTGAATAACTCTGTATATCTTATTCATAAAAGCAATTAAAACCTTTTCTAATTAAATAATGTCTTAGCTTCATCGCATTCTTTATGATTCAGAGCAGATTTTTGGTAACTGGAGGTCCTGTTTTATAAAAAGAATAGATTTAAGTTCTCCAAGGATTTCTGTTTATGATTAATATAAACATGAATTTCTATAAAAATTAATTTCTCAAAATTTCATAAAATTAAATAAATGGGGAGTAACAAAATATTTTTTTCCAAGATTTTCTAAGAAATGTTTCTAAAAATAATTTAATTCATTTGTGAATAAGTCCTGAAAATTCCATTAAACCTGACAATTATTTGATTTTTGCAAGAATTTCCAAATCAAAGTTTTTCACTGCAAAAAGATACTAAAATTTTCTATTCTAATTAATGGTCACCTGCTGATAAAAAATAAAAATATTTTTAACCAAAATTTTTAAGGTTCTAAAAAGGATTAGAGAAATATAATCATCAAAAAATCTTTTGGTCTTTCCTCTTAATATATTATTCTTATTATTAATAGTCATATTTTGGTTGTTTGTGATGCAGTGATCGATATGTACACAAATTACATTAAATTTTACTAAGTGACAAGTTAAGCTACAAGAGTGTTTCGTGCTTGTGTGACCAATGTAAGAATCAAACCTGATTTTTATTATTCAGACACTTATTGAAACAGTAAAATTTGTGTACATATCAATAATCACATCACAAAGAAACAAAGTATGAATATTAATACATGACAAATATTAGTATATAATACCAAAACAGCACTCACTCTAAAATAAAAAAAAGAAAAAAATACAATAAATACAATTTACCTCTGGAGACTGCATTTTAAAATGTGAATGAAATATTTAAAATGTATATAGAAAAATTAATACATTCATTATCCAGTGCTGTCAAGCTTGGTGGAAATATTTTACACCTGATATCATTTATAATATACAAAAATGTAATTTTATGAAAATACTTACGTTCATTTAAATATTCTTAAAAAAAAAAAAAAAAAAAAATTAGATCATTTTTTTTTCTTACTTCTTAATTCTTCCATTTCATTTTGAAACAGAGTTTTACCCATACATAATACTCACTAGTCAGATTTATGGATAAAACAAAAGAGAAAGTTAACCAGAGAGTAAGAGACTTACTGGTTTTGAGTCAGAAATTATCTGAAAATTTTTCTTCCTCTCTTTTCTTTCTCAGATAAATATACAGCAGTATCTGCTCATTTTCAAGTAAATTTTTTACTTGCTTTTTACAAGCATATGTATGCAAATATTCAGTGTAAAAGAAAAGACACTATAAGTCTTAACACATCTGCACTTACCACTAGATACCTAATCTTGTCTTAATAATGATAGGGTCAGAATTTTTTTCTATCTGCAAAAAAAAAAAAAAAAAAATAAAAAAGGGAGGAGGGATCTTGATAAAAAGGTGGTGGAAAATTAGTTAAACAGTCAAAAAGTGTGAAATTAATAAACAGGATAGTCTTAATAAGCTCCAGGGTGTGGTAGTGAAGGTGCCACTAGAACGCAGGGGGATTTTTCTAAAAAAAAAAAAATGATTAAATAAAATAAAATATTTTCTCACCTTCTATTACAAGGTACCTAAGGGGATACAAAGGAAATTTTATAAACCAGCTTATATTTTATAATTTTACAGACAGTACAAAAATAATCTATAAAGAAAAAAATACTCCAACTGGATATATATTTATTATTTCACCCCAAACAAGACAATAATGCTACTAGAACACACGGGGTTACAGGGAGTGAAAGAAGAAGTGGAAATGATTGAGGAAAGGACAAAAAAAGAAACAGGTTCAAGAAGACAGAAGATTGCAATTGACATGATGTAAATTTTTAGAGATTATAGTTACCAGGGAAGAAATCAGAAGTAAGTTGCACAGGTAAGAAGTGTGAGAAAAGAAACTGTTAGAACAGAAGTGTCAGTTGCATGTAACTAGTTCAATAGTAAAATGGTGAAACCAATAA